TTGGCCATTCATTCCTGCAAAACACAGAGAGCTTCTCTTTCTTACTCCTAACCCCAGGCTATCGGCCTGGGCTTTGAATTCCGAGCAGTGATCCTGAAAAAGGCTGAAAGCAGTTAGTTGGTTCTGTCCCATTTCTTCCAACACAGTAAGAGTCACAAACACAACAAAAAGCACAAACACACAGAAAAATAACACATAGTTAATTGGCACCTTAAACTGAAAATGGGACGATGGCCTCTCGCCTCCTGGCGGGCGCGACCCGCTCCGTCCTTCCAAGTCTACCAGGGGAATCCAATCCCTGTCAGGTGGGTCCGGGACATCTCCCGAGTCCCACGGCCTGGGGACTTCCAGTGCATCCATCTAGACCTCCAACAGGCAATCTTGAAACGGCCCAAAAACCAAACCAGAAGCATGCAGGAATGAAAGACACAAAGACAAGAGACACTCACCGATCGGATCAGGCAGACTCTGCACCCTGGGGTCCAGTGGGGGTCTTGGGGATCCCAGACAAGCCCCGAAATAGTGTGCCCAGAGAATGAATCCCCAAGAATTACCATGAAGTCCAGAGAGCATGCAAGAACAAAGAGTCTTTACTAGGGCTTAAGCTCAGACTCTCAGACCAAACTAACGTGGTAGGTTCATCTGAGAGCCCCGACTGCAGGGGGAGGGAGCTTTGCATAGGTTTCAGACAAAGGGAGGAGGGGAATGACAGAGTTATATTTTGATTGATGCAAAGAGCCTGCGTGCGCCAACATACTTTTGAATTGATTGGTTACAGCCTCGGAGGCCTCTCATTGGTGGGTGCTGCCCTCAGGGCTGTGGAATGTGCTGACTTATCTTCAGGGCTAGAGGACCCTGTTTATTCCTTATAAGGCCTCAAACCTGCCCGGGCCCCCTGGACATGCCTGGGCTTGCCTAGTCTATGACCATATGAGACATCACGAAAATGGAGGGATCAGCAGTCAAAATGGAGACGGTTCAGTTTGTCCCTCTGGTTCCCTCAAGCCAAGCGATTTACAGAAGGGAAAAGAGCAGTTAGTCCTAAATAGGGGCAGTGGTCTAGGGAGTCTGGGAGAGGGGGCCAAGGAGGAGGGTTCCACAAATGCAGATCCTCTGCTGCTCTTAACCATTGAGCAAGCTCTCAGCCCTTTGTTAATTATTTTGATTTTGTTATGTGTCTTGTAGATCTTTACATGAGGATAGATTGCTTTATTTACAAAATAGTTTTATTATAATATATTCTACTGGTATACCCACAATTTAGTTTGTACTGGTTCAATATTTTACAATCAGAATAGTTGTTTTTGTTTTGTTTTTGTGTTATGTTTTGGTGGTTTTGTTTTTTGAGACAGGATCTCCTTGTAGCCCCAGCTGGTCTAGAACTTGCTATGTAGACCAGGATGGCCTTGCCCTTACAGAGAACTGCCTATCTCTGCCTCCCAAGTGTTGGGATTATAAGAGTGTGCCACCATACCCAGCTTTGTGTGTTTTTTTTTTGAGACAAGGTCTCACATCTCTGTCCAAGGCATTAATAACTCTCCTATAAACTTCTTACCCAAAAGACAATCCACTTCTGTCCCCCTGGAACCCCACACCCGAGACTAGGTTATACATTTTAAAGTATTTTTAGTAATCTTTTAAGTTAGCATATGAAGTAGTGAATTTCATTATGGCATTTTTACATTATACTTTGTTCTAATTCATCCCTCTTCCCTCATTTTTAAGTTTTTTTGATCTTTTTGAGACAGGATCTCCCTATAGCCTCAGTTGGCCTGGAACTCACTATGTAGACCAGGCTGGCCTTGAACTCAGAGGTCTGCTTGCCTCTGCCTCCCAAGTGCTGGGAGTGCTGGGAATAAAGGTACGTGTCATCACACCCGGCTTCCCTCATTTTTTGAAAACCTTTAAATCAGAAGTATTTCTCAGTGGAGCATACCTTTAATTCCAGCACTCAGGAGGCAGAGGCAGGCAGTTCTCTGCGAGATAAGGCCAGCCAGTTCCAGGCCAGCTGGAGCTACAGGAGACCCTGTCTCAAATATAAAATAATAAAATAAAGTAATTTTGAAAATATTTTAAAAAATTTATCACATCAAAACTCTTCAAAAACAACAAAAATATTTTGTAATTTTAAGTGCCCACTGTGGAAAGATGACCCTACTAGTTAGTATTTTACCTTTTGGATATATAACTTTGTATACTTGTTTGTATCTTATATTTATATATGAATATTCATTTAACACAAATAGAACTATATTATTCCTGACCTTGATATAGCTTGATTTTTTTTTTTTTTTTTTTTTTTTTTTTTTTTTTAAAAAAAAAAAAAAAAAAAAGAGGACGATAAATCTATGTAGACCGCTGGCCTTGAACTCACAGAGATCCACCTGCCTCTGCCTCCCAAGTGCTGGGACTACAGGCACATGCCACCACACCTGGCAATTTTTTTTTTAATTTATTTTTATTTTATGTGTGAGTGTTTTGCCTACATGTACATAAGGGCACCTGTGTCATGCAATGCCCATGGAGGCCAGAAGAGAACATCAGATGCCCTGAAACTAGAGTTAAGGGTGGTTGTTAGCTGCCATGTGGGTGCTGGGAACCAAACCTAGGTCCTCTGTAAGAGCAGCCAGACCTGGCAATTTTTTTTTTAATTTATTTTTATTTTATGTGTGAGTGTTTTGCCTACATGTACATAAGGGCACCTGTGTCATGCAATGCCCATGGAGGCCAGAAGAGAACATCAGATGCCCTGAAACTAGAGTTAAGGGTGGTTGTTAGCTGCCATGTGGGTGCTGGGAACCAAACCTAGGTCCTCTGTAAGAGCAGCCAGTGCTCTTAACCAGTCATCTCTCCAGCCCCACCATAAATAGTTTTCTTTTGATACAAAATATGATTGTTATCACTGGAGTTTTCTAGTTCTGATTTTTTTTCTCTTTTTTTTGGCCGGCCGGGGGGGGGGCAGAGTCTCATGTAGTTAAGGCTGGCCTTGAACTCCTGATCTTCTTGCATCTACAAGTCTCACTACTACACTGAGCTTTTCCAGTTTGCTTTAATACTTTGTGTATGTAATTTTGATTTTCTAAGTATTTCCTAAAGTCATGGAGTATGTATGTTTCAAAAGCTCTAGTTACAATTGAGAGCTACTGTCCAGAAAGCCCAGATCAGCAGGACAGTAGTCAGCCTATGCTACATTTCCAGTCAGCATTAGCTTGCTAATGATCACATTTTCATATGAAGGCCGTTTGTTACTCTTCACAAACTTTAAGTTGACGCATCATAGCCAAATACGCATTTTTTATTCCAGTTTCAGGGCTTCAAAGCTTTGTCAGTCTCATGTGGCCCTAGGAAGCTTCAAGAAAATGGTGACACTAGCAAAATGGTACACATTTTGGTGGAGAGACTAAAGCAGGTCTCTAAGTTGTTGCTATGGAGAAGACAGTTCAGGGCTTCTTTTGACAGGCAGGGGAACATTTGCTGGCACTGCACATGAAGATCTTTTGCATATGCTAGTTCCTGTGCCAGAACGCCTACTTACTCCTTCTCAGATGAACAGCAGTAGCTAACGTTCCTTGGTGCTTTCAGAAGGCAGTTTGCTAGGTGCCTCAATGCATACTCTTGTCCAGTCCTTTGGGGTTGGACCCATTCTTAGTTTTCATTTTGAGGATGAGAAATTGCAGAGAAAGGTTTGTCCTTTTGCCTGTAGTTGTGTTGCCGGCCATTCTGCTGTCAAGCTCAGGGGCACTAGCCTGCCTCTTCTCTCCTGAGTCTTACTACTGCAGGTCATTTCCCTAGACAATTAGCTGGACTCTTAGTTAAGAGTGAGCTGGACCTCTCAGACAGCTTTTGTTTGTAAGACAGTCTGACAACATCAAGTTTATTTGAGTCAGGGGCTCACTATGTGGCCCTGGCTGACCTGACCTGGAATTTCCCTTGTAGACCAGGCTGCCCTCAGACTTGCAATCATCATGTTTGTCCCTCCAAGTGCTGGGATTATAGGTATATGGCACCATGTTCAGTAACATCAGATTCTTTTAAAAATGTTTACTCTTATGTGTGTGAGTGTATTGCTTGCATTAATGTAAGTGCACCCATGTTGTACAATGCCTGTGAAGGTCAGAAGAGGGTGTTGGATCCCCTGGAACTGGAGTTATGGACGGTTGTTAACTGCCATGTGGATGTTGGGATTCAAACCCAGGTTTTCTACAAAAACAGCCAGTGCTCTTAACCTCTGAGCCATATCTCCATCCTGACATCAGATTCTTGACTGTGTTTTGCAAAAAAAGTTTCAAACTTTCTTCCTATTTCCTACTTCTGTCCAAAGACAGAGAACTGAAATATTTATCAGTTCCTTGAGGGAAGGATCTGCATGATCATCTCTGTGCACATCAGTACCACTATGGAGATAACAGAGTTTCCTTAGATGAAAGTTCTGCTAAGAGGTCCACAAAGAATTATGGTTAAGCAAATTGAATACACTGTTGTTGTTGTTGTTGTTGTGTGTGTGTGTGTGTGTGTTTAATAAGCCTGTGCTAAGGTTTGGAATGCATGTGTTAGAGATTTGGTCCTCAGTGTATCAGTGTTTAGAAGTGGGACCTTAGGGAGGTGACTGGGTCATTTATTTTGGGAGTGGCTTTGTTTGAAAGTGAACACTCTTTTCTCACCAGTGACTGAATTTGCCTCTTTGATATAGCAATTGGTCCCTCCCCAGATGATGCTGGGGTTTCACTCTGGGATTCTAAGCCTTCAAAACTATAAGCTAAATAAACCTCAACTCTACAAATCCCCCAGTCTGCAGTATTTCAGTTATAACAACAGAAAACTGACTAAAACAGCCTGCTTTGGAAGCAATGTAAAAATCCCATCTGTGAAGTGTTTTTAGGGCACCTTTACATTCATTTATGATAAAGGCAACCTACCCAGGTGCTGCACTAGATGTTTAGGATACACTGTGTTATTACACAAATTATTTTTCATAAGAACTGATAAGTTAGCAGGGTAGCTATTATTGAACTGTTTATTTTTGGCTCTTTAGTGCTTCTTCCCCCTGAGGAGGAAGCAGAGTTTGGGTGGTCCTTTCCCTAGGTGGCCCCTCTTCTGCAGAGGCTGTTTTGCTGGGACTTCTCTGGGTCTAGGAGACAAGCCAGCTCCAGGTCAGGCCCTTGGACTTCTTGGTTTATTTCTCCCTTTTGTTCTGAAGATCTGAAAACTCTTCAAGGTTTCAGAGGAACCGCAGTGAGTTGATTCTCATGTACCTGGAGAACAGAATGTAGAGGTGGCGGAACCACAGGAGCTGGCTGTAGTGGCAGAACATGGCTTTCTGGAAGAATCAAAGAGGACCAATGATAGCTGCTCTGGAGCTGTTTTTATTAATTTTAGATCTTCCCTTCTCACCTGAAATCCTTCCTCTCACTAATGCACTTTGTGCTGTCGTCTTACATGGCTTCTTTTGTAGCTCACGTACATCTCTGGATTGGCTTTCCCCTTATCAATACTTATTCCCTTTTGATTACAGAAGATGATGCTGAGGGCAGCTACAGGATTCACTACTGCCAAATAGTTTACAACCATCATCTCAGTGTGGACAACCCTGTGAGCTAAATACTATTATTACTGATTTTAAAAATATAAAGGGCTGGCTTCCCTGGGCCTGAAAGACCTGCCTCAGGACTCTCTCCTACCCGTAGGCCACTCTCCATCCCACCCTCCAAACCTTGACTCCCCCAGCACCAGTCACCCTCCCATCTCCCCCGCCACCCTCTCCTCCGAGTTTGGACCCTGCCCCATTCCTTGTCTTGGGGCCCCAGACACCTGGGGAGCCAATACTGCTTCCTGATCCTTTTCATTGAGACCAACCTAGTGCCCTCTCTTGGCCCCAGGAGCACTGCTTCTGGGCCTGGCCTCGCCCTCACCTCTTTCTGCTTCCCTGGGCCTGCACCATCCACCAGCCTCTTTCTGGGACATGGGAGCTGACCTTTCCTCTTCTTGATCCTTTGCATCCAGACCAACGCAGCTCCTCAGTGCAGTCCCAGGAGGCCTTGGGGCCTCTTACCGCCCCATCTGCCTTTGCATCTCTGGGTGGCACGGCCACCAGCTGCCCTAGACAAACATTTTCCCAGGTGCTGTTTCCAGGCCAGTCCAGCCCCCAAATTCCTGAGGACAACATCGTTCCTGGAGGGATCCTGACCTCAGGAGAAAGCCTGAGAGCATCTGATCCTCATCTGACTTGGGCCTCTGTGGGAACTCCTGAAGATGAAAGCAATTTGG